TTTTTTTTTTTTTTTTTTCAGATTAGCATTTTGCCAATTTCAATAAGGCTAATGTCAGCATGGTTGTTGTAGCTATATAAAAAAACTTTTTAGTTGCTATAAATTTGATTTAACTATTGTTAAAGATGCCATTAAAATACATTGATAAATAGATTTTCAGCATCAGAGAATGCCAAAATGTTTTGCTTGTCAGTGTGAAGTATTTCTAAAAATTGTGTGGAAGATGTATTTGGCATATTGATATATTTTATGAATTTCTTTTTTTTAAATTGTGGTGTTGTAGTTAGGAAGCTAATTTTGATAGTTATTATTTGTTCTTCACTGGATGCTCCATATTTGTGGCCTTGTGTCAGGCTAAGCTAAATTTAGTAAATTCCTATAAGTGAGAAATGTTTGGTCTTAAATGAGATCTAGATATTTAGATTTTACCATATATGAAAGAATGCTGAAAAGTTATTTGCATGACCCACTTCTCAAAATCATTATATTGATTGGTTATTAAAATACTGATCTTGGGAAATGGGTTGGGCTGAGAAGTTTTCATCATTTTTCTCATATGTAACTTGGTATTCACTTCTAAATTTGTTTAATCTTAGAGAGCCTCATTTTACTTTCTGAACAGTGATTCATTTGTTAACTTGTTTCTTGAGCAAATCAAATATTTTTGTATATCTTTCAAACTTTTGTTTAGGATTGCGTGTGTGTCTGTGAATCAGTAAATCTGTAGCTGGTAGTTTAATTTTGACATGAAATGTTTACTATATAATTTCCTTTTTCACTCACTGGAAATTTGATTCCAACATGCAATGGTCTTTTCTGCTAAAAAAAGAAAAACATAACCTCATATCTGATACTGTAACAAAAATCAATGTAGAGAAATCCTTTTTCCACTATATACTCCTAACCTATTTCTATTTTTAATCTAAAATGGATAAGGCCATGCTTCACTGGCTGTAACTGACATGCTTTTCTCACAAAATGTGTTTCTGCCAGAAGGAATATGAGGTAAGGCATATATGCAATCAATAACTACATGCTCTGTATCTACCTATGCCTACAAGCAGGAGACAGAATTGGAACATGCAAATATCAGATAATGAAAGCTAACTTAAAAATACATATCCCATAAAATCTAAAGGTACAAAAAATAAGTTTCTAAAGGGAAACTTATTTTTTGTATCTTATCACATTAGTCAAATGATTTAGTTTGGTTGGCTCATTATTCTGACACAATCCTCCATGTGTTTCATATTCAATACAGCTAAATTTATTTTATTACATTCTGCTTGAAACAAAACTCTGACATTCACCATCCATTACTTTTGATTTGCACCTGTACCATTTATCATGTTTAGTTTGTGCCTTCTCTGTTTCTTGCACCATACAGTTCCATATTTTGATGTAAATACTGACCAGTCTTTCTAATGACTGAAAAACCATCAATACACCATTGGAATCTGATAATATGCATTGATTATAATTTCTTCAGTTATTGTTAACAACAGTCAGAACATTTCATGTGTTGGTATATACAGGGTGCTTCAGAAATACCTCCCACATAATGGCAAGATCTTAATGGAAATCATGTTTTCATCTAGTTGTCTTACATTATATGGGCAGTATTTCTACTGCACACTGTATTATTCATATATTATAAGAAAATAATTTTATGGCACCAATTGTAGTATATTTGATGCAATGCTAATACTTCCTTTTTGTAGGCTGGTGATCTTTGTCTAGTGGTTAAAGCTGTCAAAACGCAACAAGGAATGAGATTTCTTCAATCAAACAAGAAAGGCATTTAATCTGACCAACTCTGATGGCAACAAGACCTAAATGGAATCAAGTTCTGTTTCTGATTTCTATTTTGATAAGCTGATCATTATTTTATTTTTAATGTTTTTAAAAACATGTAATCCTATAAATATATATATATATATATATATATATATATATATATATATATATATATATATATATATATGTGTGTGTGTGTGTGTGTGTGACAGGATTCAAGCAGATAACCAACCACGGCCTATAAGGCCATGTTCTTGAGATGTGTGTTTGTATGTTTCTTTAATACACTTCTTTTTTCATTAAATATCCGTACACGCATGTAATGATCATATATTTTCATTCTATTTTTATGTCCATATTTAATACATAGATTTTCTTATGTCTTTTTATATATAATTGTTTATCTGTTACATTGAGCTAGCCCAACCTGATGATATCTTTTAAATAACAAATGTTAGGTGAAAATATTTCCATGTTTTGCAAGATTAACAACTTGTTGAATTTTGTTAAGCATTTAAGGATAATGAAAATCAGCATATTAAAATCTGACACAAAAATTAAAGGAAAACATTATTGTGCATATCATAAGAAAAGATGTGTATTCAAGGCATTTAAACTAATGCCTTGGAAAATGTCTTTTGTGCATATACATAGGAAGCCACTTATTTCATCCAGCATCTAGCTGTTTTGTATTAATGAAAATACAACCCATTTGAGGAAAAGGCACCCTAATCCCCTTCAAATCTTGAGATCTTATCCATTTATCTTGGTATCACTTCTACATTTCAAGAAAACATGTCATGCCCACTTCCAGGATTGCTTTGTCATATTCTCCTTAATCTTAAACTTGTCCATTCTCTGAAATTCTATTTTTCATTGATTTTTATTTTTTATTTTTTTTATTTTTTTTGGAAAAGCCAGAAGTTACAAGGTGCCAAATCTAGACTAGAGCTGCTGCTGATCTCTTTGATGCAATGTTTTATGCAATATGGAAGCTTATTCAATAAAGCATCACTACCATGTTAGTAACCACATGAGAATGTATCAATTCTAGAAATATTCAAATTAGCTGAATATTTCTGGATAAATTTGTAGTGATAAACTTAATAATCAAAAGTACATTGCATTGAAATGTGAGAGGAATTATGTTTTATTTTTACATAGGAGAAAGTTATATTGTGTTGTATACTGTGAGCCTGTTTATTTTTTCCACAAATACATTGGTATGTAAAACTCTTTCATTTAATTTCTCCTTTTTTTCTTGACCAGTGACTGATGTTAAACACAAATTTAGGCATATTAAATATTTGATAACTAAGATATTTTTTATTTTTTGATTTGCTAGTGTTTCCACCATAGTTTGACTGTAATGCAGCCATTTTTAGCAGCATTAAGGGAAAACCATTGGAAAAAAATGAGTTACAGATATCTACATAATTTTTTTCAAGTTGGGGTACCTAGGGTAGGTACCACTTTTTTCCCCTCCTGCTTTTTCTTGCTAATACATTGAACTAGTATAACAAAAATAGCTACTGTTATTAATTTTTTACTAGTATTTCTTTCATCTTATTGTGTTACTTTTTCAATACATGCTGCCTGCATGTAGTCATAAAATAAATATAAAAATGACTCTAAAGTTGCTATTAAAAGCAAGTCTGTCAGTCTTTTCTTGGAAAAGAGACACATGCCCTATTTGATTATAAAATTGGTTGAAATGTGTCTCTCCCCACTGGCCCTGCCAATCCTGAGTTCTGTCTTTGGGTCAGATTGTACAAAAAAAAAGTCACACACTGGTTCAGTGGAAGAAGCAACAAGCAACATAAACGTGAAATAGATGAGAAAGAATTAATAAAGGATTTAGTTCAAAATTCTAAGGATTTTACTGAGTATGACAATGGCCTTGAGCCAGAGGGTACATCAACTGAAACATTGTGAATATAACAACTGAGATGAGTGGATTAGTTCAAGTGGAAAAGTATAATAAGAAAACAAGAAAATAAAATGGCAGTGGGAGGTGGTTGGTAAGAGTCAATGATCAATAATAAGAACAATGCTTTATCTAAGACATTTGAACAAGACTACATCTAAAATAGTAGCTAATTTGAAAGACTTATACAATAACTTTATTAGCTATTAGATAATCCTCCTGATCAAAATATCACTTAGCAGAAGTGACAATTCCTGATTTCTTATTGTTCATGTTGATTCTTGAGTCTTTTCTAAGTTACTGACTCTACATATAAATGCATATATTCTTCTATATATGATGCTGATTAGTTTACAGTATGTTTTGCTTTAACTTTCAGTTTGAGACTGTATAAATTCTATTTTAGTTTATAATACTAGAAGAGACCATTGAATAAAACAAATGACTTCAGTAACCATTGAGATATTTGAAATATCTCGTTGAAAAATACAAGATTTTTGAAAATATGTATTAAAAGATGGTTTTATTAAAATATTTTGTTTGTGGAGAAAATTAATGGTTATAAAGATTTTTTTTTATTTACAGTTCTAATTATCCTAAGTTAATTATATGGGCTAAATTACTAACTGAAGACTTAAAAATAAAAAAAGTCTGTCTATATCTCTGAGATGAGGTATTTTGATTATTTACACTATTTGGACTGTTATCCTCATCTTCATTGCCATATCCACAACTTTCAACTGGCCTTCTTTAGATTATTGGAATTTCAAACTGAACCCTTTATTTTGTCCACCAGTGTAGGTTATTCTAGTTCCATGTGCCATGCCTCTTTCGGGTGTCTCAGTTATTTCCCTTTAACTCAACTCTCCAAGTTTTTTGGTTCACCATTGCTGTGGCCTGGCATTGAACTCACAACTCAGGGTCTAGTCATTTGATCTAACCAACACCTTGAAGACACATGGCCCAGTGGATAAAGGCATTGGTTAGATCCAAGAAACTTGGAGAGTTGAGTTAAAGGGAAATAACTGGACACTTGGAAGTGGGATGGCACATGGAACTAGAACAATCTACCCCTGTGGATGAAATAAAGGGATCAGTTCAAAATTCCAATCATCTGAAGGAGACTGGAGTGTACAACAGCCAAAACATTGTGAATATGGCAATGAAAATGAGGATAAGTTTGAATAATGTAAATAAAAAAAGTCATTGTCAGATTCCATTTAAATAGGCAATCTGCTAGTCTTTAGTTTTCTAATTCTCGTTTCCCAACTTTCAGATTGGAATCATTGGTGGCAGTGGTCTGAACAAGTTGGATATTTTGGAAAATAAATCTATTAAGGATGTCACCACACCATTTGGAAAGGTAAATAGACATTTTTTTCTTCTTTTCTATAATGATGCTTGATTGATAATGTTCATGTTTTCAATGTCACTGATTTTTTTATACAAAAAAACTGGTCAATATCTTTTTTTTTTTTTTTTTGTAAAACCCACTTATGGAAAAATATAGGTAAATGGTAGATTGTTTTTGCTTGGTCAGAATTTTTTTCACGGTCTCCAGAAAGCTTTCCATTGATGCATTTTCACCTGGACTGATTAGAATCCCTACAAACATTTTTTTCCTGATACTTTTTATTTAATAATACAAGATGTGTTATTAATTATTTACAGAAAAAAAATAAATAAAATATTTCTTGGTAAAACAAGCAAATTTTTTTTTAAAATTTTAATTAAGCAAAAAATCTTTACAAAAAAGTAAATCATTGGTTCACATCATTTTTTTTTTTTTTTTTTAGTTACCCAAAAACAATATTTAAATCCCCATGAAAAACACGCATAAATTGTTTGTCTTCAAAAAAACAGTACACCACTCTATGATTCCCTCATGTGTCGTCTGCAGTTGGTTGCTTGTCTTCAAATAAAGCAACACTTAGATAAAAAAAAAAATATTTCAACATCCAACTGATTTTCACATGTTCCTTTTCTATGTACTTTGTCAGATATTTTACCTCACTACAAACTGAGGTAACAAACATTGCTGCTTTGCCACATACAGACACTGACTATACTTTATTCTATTCCTTTTAACTTTTCTAAGCCTATACAAAATAAACAAGATGCTTAAATTTGAATCTTTGCTTGTAAATTTTTTGTTCTTAAATTAATTCTTTGTTAATGTTGTGACAAATTCTGACTGTTGACAATATTTTAAAATATGAAAAGTTTAATTATTCCCTTAAATTGATGAAAATGCTTTAGGCTAGCTCAGAAGCAATAAGTACAGTGTAACCCGGATATAAGAGAGTTGTCGGGACCGGAGAAGAAGTCTCTTATATCCGGGTTTGGTCTATTTTATATACATTAACACAGGCTCTAATTTGGAACCAGAGAAAATCTCTCTTATATCCGGGTTTCTCTTATACCCGGGTTACACTGTATTTCGTAAATGTCACTGCTTTCAAAGTTTATCATTTAGTGTTTTAGTTCAGTATCAAACCTTTCAAATGTTGCATAACCATATCTTAAATTTATCAGACATAATGTAAGGGGAATAACTCTGTATTTATGCAATTTATTTTATCGCTAATGATCTTTGTAAAGTTTGAAGAGAGATTGTGGACATCCTTATTTCCTACTTAAATTTGAAAGCGATGAGCTGTACAGTTTCTATAGTTAATATGCCTATGAACCTTACATTCACTTGAGTATTTTTCCCTTTTCAAATGCTACCAACTCTAAAATATTTAAAAAGATCTGTAGATTTAGATAGACAGTTGTCTTTTACAAAATTATATTCCTAAACATTTTTATTTAGTTAAAAAAAAAAGCAAACTCAAAATTAGTTAAAATAAGGAACACCTTTTTTTTGTTATTAGTTTAATGGCTTATGTTTAACCTATATATAGTTTAGTTGAATTTGATTGAAGCGTCTAAGGGAAATCAATACCTTTTTATTATTTTAAAACTCCAGACAAATTGAGCATTGTGTTACAATTCTGCTTAGTCTTCCATTATTTAGTATATGTTATGGCTTGCTATTACCACAGATAAATAATGGGCCATTCCATTTTGCTTATGAGGGAAGATGAAACAAAAAGATATCTCAAAGACACTGTTTGGTTTTAGTGAGAAAGAAAGCATATATTTTAATAGGAAAGAAGAAAATTCAAGATGGCAGAAGTAATAACACTCATGCATTTAATGTCAGTTTCAGTAAAATGGAAAATCTTATCAGTTTTGAATCTTTTCATTTGCCACATATTGATTCTTTATTTAAATTCATACTTATGATTGTTAAAGTTGTTGATCTGAAATATTTAACAATGCAACAGGGAAATTTCCATGAGTATTTTAGTCATGGAATTTACAAGGAGTTGTTCAGTCATTAAATTATGATTCATCAGAAAATTCAAATAGGAACACTATGAAATTTTAATTGGTAAAGTCAAGTTTGTTCTATATTATACAATTCTATTGCTTTCCATTCTCTCCTCTTATTAGAATGTATTGTAGTACATTTTTATTTTATTTATTGCCAACTCTTATGCTGTCAAACTGTTACACATATTCACAATATAAATGTTCAAATGTCTTTTAAAAGGTAATATTACATTTTATCTTTTAAGAACAAAAATCTATAATAGCATTTTGTGATTCTCTCATTTACTAACTGTTATGGGACCTTACCCATAATAGCATAATGGACTATTCCATACGTAATAAATATTGCGCCTCAAGAGGAAGCGGGGAGTTCAGTCTGAAGTCTGGAGTAAAGTCCATCAGGAGTCTGCCAGTCGAGTCAGAGGCAGACTGAAACAGTCGCTTTCAGACAATTACTACTAAACCTGATTGTTCGTACTAACACTTTCTACTTCTTTGTATATATTCCTGTTTGTAATATATCTGTGTTATTCCATATCTGCCTTTGAGTTCTTCTTTATTGGTTCTAACTTGGACTATCACCGTGGTACAAGGAACCGGACCATAACACTAACAAAAGCATCTGAAGAAATATGAACTAATGATTACTAATCTATATAGTGGAAAAATATTTTTTTTGTAAAAGGCTTTTTTTCAAATTAAAATTGTTGTGGTGTCCTCCCTCTAAAGAGTCTGTTACTACTATAAGATTAGTAGGACAGAAGGCTTCGAGGGACAGTGAATGGATTGAGCGCTGGTTCATACAATACACACTCACTAGTCATGTAATACTCTTCTGGTGTACTTACTGTTTAATATACTATATATCTGCAAACCTAGTTTTTGTTACTACTTAACCATTTACTTGGTCACAACATCTTGGCGATGAAGGATTCAAAGAAACGGACTTAATTATTTTTGCCAGTGTCTACAACAGAAAGGAATTCTATTCCAACTCTACAACAAAAGGGTATCCAGTGTTAATTACAATATTGACAGTGGGAAAAAAAAAAAAAGATCCTGTTCAAAACAAGAGGATTTCTACAAGTTCAATTCAGTGGCTGGGAAGAAGGTTGGTGAACCTTGTTATTTTTTCCATCCCAACAAGTTAGTGAAAGAACTTATTGTTTCACTAATAGGGTAAGGTAAAAATTTACCCCTTCTCCTGCTTTTAAATTTTTCAGTAAAAGAATCATACAAGTCAAACAGACTTATTTAAGAGGGTAAGGAGAAAAAATTCCCCCCTCTCATTTCTTAATTTTACACAATAAAATGGAAGTCGGATGAGGAGTTATGTCTACTGGACCAACATGGACAAGGATATTGAAAACATTGTAAGATCGTGCAAAGGATATGTTTTGGCTGCTAAAGCACCCCCAATAAAATTCAATCCCTGGCCTAAAACTGACCGTCTGTGGTCGCAGTTACACATTGATTTTGCTGGCCCACTTGATGGTTTTTACTATCTTGTAGTAGTTGACAGTTATTCCAAGTGGCTAGAAGTGATGAAATGTAAGAAGCCGACCTCGGAGGTGACAGTAAAATTTTTGCACAAGCTATTTTCCTGTTTTAGAGTTGTTGACTGACAATGTAACACAGACAATGACACACAGTTCACATCCTGTGAATTTAAGGATTTTTGTCAGTCATTCCTGATTGAACATATTACCATGGCGCCAAGAAGTAATGGATAGGCAGAGCATTTTGTTGACACTTTCAAGAGAGCACTGAGGAAGGCGAGAGGTACTCCCACCGATACGGCTATACAGCAGTTTTTGTAGGTCTATCATGTAACTCCTAATAGCAGTGCTCCATCTGCCAAGATTCCAGCTGAGGTCATGTTTGCCAGGAAAATAAAATCAGCATTTGACAAATTCCGTCTGAGGGAAACAAAAGTGGGAAATAAGAATAAAATGATTAAAAAGCACTTTGAGATCAGTGAAAAGGTTTATTTTCATGTCTTTGGGAATAATAAATCTCACTAGGAGATAGGAACAATAGACGAACAAGTTGGTAACATGATTTACATGGTTCAGGGACTGAAGTTTATACACAAACATCATGTAAACCAAATTAGAAAACAGTATGAAAGTGTAGTCGACAGGGATCCCATAGAAGATGACACTATGGATGTCGGCTTTGACACATTTGACATTACAATACCGCAATCAGTGCCAGAACTCAGAAGGCCCAAAAGAAAAAGGCAATTTACGGAACCTTTAGAAGTTAACCCGAAAAAGAAATATTGAATATCTTTCATTTCATACCATGTCAACAGAAAAAGGAAAAGAATGAATGAACAAAAAACCCATTTTCTCACTTATGAACTTTGAATTACCACAAAAGCACAGTATGCATTGGATTTTTGGAAATTATCAAAAAAAAAAAAATTGTAAACATAATTCCTGTATATAGATTTTTCAAAGGGGTTGTTTCTGCTTTTTTTTTTTTTTGTGAAAAAGGATTAAATAAAAAGTATTGTGTGGTAATTATAAAAAAAAAAGACTTCATACAGAGCCAGGGGGAGTGTGTTGTGGTGTTCTCTCTCTAGAGAGTCTGTTAGACTCTTCCGCCTACTATAAGATTAGTAGGACAGATGACTTCGGAGAACAGTGAATTGAGCTCTGGTTCATATGATACACACTCATTAGTTGTGTAATACTCTTCTTTTCTACTTACTGTTTAATATACGATATATCTACAAACCTGGTTTTTGTTATTACTTAACCATTTATTTGGTCACAACAAGAATCAAACATGAAAACAAAACATCTTACAGCAACTTTTTATATTCTCAAAATCAACTGAAATGGATTTCAAATTTAATTTCTTTATACATTCTTACATTCACTTCTGTAAGTTTTTAAAGGAAGAAATAAATGAAAAGTTATTTCCATATTTAAAGAATGCAATCATAAAATTGGCAGCCTATCCTTCAAAGAGAAATGAGTTTCTCTAGTTGCAGTGATATTTTGCTAATAGGTAAATAAAATGGATATACATAAGAGTATTGATGACTCTTTAGCTAAATGATGAAAAAGGCATTTATTTTATGCAATAAATATTTGACATAATCTCCTTAGCTCTTTTATGGAGACCATTTCTTTAAATTCTTTTTAATTCTTGCTAGTTCTTGATGCAAGACAACATTTTTATATTGTCATATACAATATCATTTTTTAAATTCCCCTAACCATCACAAAATCTCTTGTATCACTCAAAGTACAAAAAGGTTCATTAGCTGTTTTTTGGAGTTTTTTTTTTTAATTTCACCCAAACTCTCAAATTGAAGAATTGCAAATATATATATAGTGTCATCCACAGACAGACTGTTTCGCTGTATCACAGCTCATCAGTGTGGCTAGATGTCTGGTTACCTCTAGCTAGGATTGAATTGGCGTCAGTCAGGGATTCTACCACTAAGCCGTTGGTGCACAGCAGGGATGAAGGTGAATTCAAGAATATTTATTTTTTAGATAAACACACAGTGACTGAGAGAACTTGATTCGATTTACTGAAGAGTCTTGCATTATTAGCCATAATAGTCACTTTTTACAACTTTTTTTTTTTTTTTTTTTTTTTTTTTTTTTTACAAACCCACATATATAATATATATATATTTTTAAGTAACTATTTTTACAAAATGCCAGGAAAAAAAATTGTGCTGCATATAACAGCAAAATGAAGACATAAGTGCATTGAAAATTTCAGTGGTTTTAATTGCTTACCCATTGGTTAGTATATAACATAGTTTTTGTATGCATGTTGTGATAAGCCCAGTCTAATTATTTCATAGCTATACCACAGATGATGTACATGCATGCATACTCAGACTACTAACTAAATGTTCACCTCATTCACAAATAATTTCCAATGATGTTTTATTTTAGAAATTATAGTAACTATTATTTTTTCCATTATAAAGCCTTCAGAAAGTTTGGTCACTGGGACAATCAACAATGTGGAATGTGTCATTTTGGTTCGGTAAGTAATTTGATCTTCCTCAATTTGGGAATTTTACTTTCCTTTCTTAAGGTTATGTAATACAAAGCTGAATATTGTTTTATCTTTGGCTCTCAGTAATCTGTAAATACAGAGTAATGGCATATCTCTTGCATTAATCATCCTTACAGTCAGAAAAAGAAAAATAACTCTTAACATGATTTTTTTTTTTTTTTAATAAAAGATTTTGAGATTATATATTATTTAAAGTAATTATGTGAATTAGTAATTTTAGATTGTATAAATTAAGTATTCATTGCAGATTTTTTGATAAATTAAACTTTAGTGAATAATCCACTCCATTAACTTATAATGAACTTTTATTTTCTTTTTTTTTTTTTTTTTTTTCAGTTATCTCCCTTTACCGTTTTATTTTCTATTTTCTTTTTTTCCTTTTTTGTTCTTTCTAAGCAAGATGTCTCTGGTCTCATCTTTTATTTATTCTTTAGACATGGAACCAAACACACCATTATGCCTTCTTCAGTTAATTACCGTGCCAATATCTTTGCTCTTAAAGAAGAAGGTTGCACTCACATTTTGGCAACAACTGCTTGTGGTTCTTTACAGGAACATATTGCCCCAGGTGATATTGTAATTCTGGATCAATTTATTGACAGGTAAATTTGACTTCCTCTACCTAACATTTTTTTTCTTTCACAAGTTTCATGACAGACTTAATAGAACATTCCTAAGCATTTATAATTTAACATTTTCTTTTTCTTGATCATCTTTCTTATACTTTTTCTACATCATTCATTTAAAATAAGAAAATGAATTTAAAAAATTATTTGTAATTAATTTAAAACATCCTTACTTGACATTGAGTTCTCAAAGTAACACCATTTTATGCTAAAATAAAGCTTGTTTTCTAATTAGATTTTTTTTTATAGATTGTCTTTTATTAATGTCATTTTTTTTTCTTTTAGAACAACCAAAAGAATTCAAACCTTCTATGATGGTTCAGATGGAGCTCCTAAAGGTGTCTGTCATATGGCAATGCATACTCCATTTTGTACCAAATTGTCAAAGGTGACAAATTTCTTTATTACTGAAAGTATTTCTTTTAGCTCCAAGGTTATTAGCCTATATTTTGAACTTAACCAAGATAGCTAAGGTGCATAAACTTCTGGTGATGCTAACCTTATTTTGAGTACTTACCAAAAAGAAAATGAATTACAAATAACAAAATCACATATCCAGTTACATTGAATTTGTTTGTTTTGATTTAATGCCTAGACAAAGAACTTGCTCTTATTGTCTACAACTTATTCTGATTAGTATTCTTCTATTTCTGCACTATTTTTTCAAGTGAACATCATATACAATAATTTAATATATTTCATTTCAAAGTTCTTTCATTCAAATGCTGTAAAAATATTAAAATTATTGCTGCAAAAAATAGGCAATTATTTTTTTCTACAACATGAAAAAATGGATGTAATTTCTTTTTGTTAAAAGTTTATCAATGTTTCATCGAGTAGACAATAAAAAAAATGTCTTTTAACATTTATAGTATTAAAACATCCTTTGGTATTTTTAGATTCTTACCGAGACATCAACCAAACTGGGGTTCAAAACACACTCCACTGGTACAGTTGTGACTATTGAGGGCCCTAGATTTTCTTCTACAGCTGAAAGTAAAATGTTTCAGTTATGGGGCGGACATGTGATTAACATGACCACTGTTCCAGAGGTAAGTCCTTTGTATTTTATAAAGCCTGTGTAAAAAATGATTGATCCTTGGCAGTGGTGCCAGTTTCAAATGTGTGCACCATCATTAAGAGATATACAAGACTGAAAAACAATAAAACAATGTTTTACCCATTAATGTTCACTGTCCCATTTTGGTGACGGTGGGCTTTAATGGGTCATAAGAAGGAAAACTATAATTAATACTAGATTTTTATTTTATTTTTTTTTCTTTAACACTGGATGTTGTGGAGGGTATTAATGTGTTTTAAGCAAAGATATGTGGGAATCAATAAAAACTGCAGCAATTTATATTGAAAGTAAATTTTTTTTTTTTTTTTTTTTTTTTTTTTAAAAAAGTTAAAATCAATCAATGAAAAACTGATTAAGGGGTACATGTAAAACAATTTCTTGATATTTACTTGGGATATCATGTTAAATGTTTCTGTGGTCTATATATCTTGAATTAATTTATAAATAAAAAAAATACTTATGCTGCACTTTGTTTGCATAATAAAACCTACCCCCGCGCCCAACCCAGCCTTATCAATATTATTAATAATGATAAGCTGAAACTCAAATGATATATTGCTCATATAAATATATCCAGAAAATTTTAGCATCAGTTGGTTAATATCGATTTTATTCAGATGTGTGTACAGAGGGGAGAAGTGACTGATAAATATACACAATCATCTATCTTCATGTTGAATAAACTTGTCTTTTGTCTTTTTTCTCTCCACTGAAGAATATCAAGCAATGATTACAAATGCTTTCGTAAAGAGGTTACAGGTAATATTATATACTGATAGAGAATAAAATGGTAACATTTTGAAGGATGATGCCAATTATGACTTAGTAAAATGTTTGTATATTATCACTGTTGGTGTTTGAACTTTCAATATTAACATATAGTGTTTTGTGAGTCCAGTGAAAGCAGATGCCATGCCACAGAGATGCATGTATGTGCCTTTTTGTTCTTATAGAGCCATTTGAAAGAGGGTCAGACTCTGCGCCTTTTAAGAGATTGGTCATTTCTGAGTTTTTTGTGTTTTTTTAATCATTTCACCCCAAGCAAGATAATAAAGTCACTAAAATGTTAGGGGGTTACTGAGTGAAAGAATGAGAAAAAGAAACAGATTATTCAGGTAAGAGAGCAAAAAAAAAAAAAAAAAAAGAAAAAAAGACAGATAATGATTGACATTGCATTTAAATTTATGAAGATCAAAATTGATGTTAAGCAAGTAACTGGAAGAGTTTCACAAGTGAGAGAAGAAACTGTTAGTATAGAACTTACGGTTACATCTAGCCATTGCTACTGTAAAATAATGAGACCTAGCTGCCAATCTAGTACTGTTTTCAATTTGTAAAGGTACCAAAGAGGAGAGCTCATTAGTACAATTACCATGAAAATATTTATAGAAAAGGTACAGGAAAGCCACATTATGGCAGTGGGAAAGTGATTGAAACTAAGATGCTCAGGGTGGATAAAAATACAGATTCTTCTTTGGATTTTATCAAGAATCTGGATACATAGCAGAAGCACCAGACCAAGTGTGACAGCAATATTCAATGCATAGAGAAAGCAGCAAACCTGGCCATTGATTCAGTATAATCTTTCTACTTTATGTCAACCCAGGAAGGCAAAAAGGTTCTCTAAGATGATTAAAAGTGAGCAGTTTTGTTTGGCTGGTTTTAAAATTAATAAGCCATTTCTTGTCCCAGTTAACAACAAATTGTAGGTTATTTTTTAGGTCAGTTGCCAATTTGACCTTATCAAACTGATCCGACTTTAATTGCCACATATGTTAGACATGATATATTTGCATGTATTTGATGGCAGCAACAGTAATCAAATGAACATTTCTACACCTGTAGACCAGGTTCTGGACAGCCATATCATATAGACACTTGCCAAAATGCATTTTCAGGGCAATAGTAGCTGACTCTGCAGTGTCCACAGATAAGAACAGATGCATTGAAATTTGGAAATCCTTTACTTGCAGCAGGATTATGTGCCTTCAGCCAAACTTTCAACTTAAGATACAAAAAATCATTTGTGTGTGTCAGATAGGGTCTCAAATTCTGGCATCATGCCATAAGTTATCACTCTTGCTTACTTTTGGTGTTTGTGGAAGGAACATTGAATATTGTTCTGTATGTATAGAGCATTACCATTTTTTGCAGAACAATACTAGCCCACATGATGCACATACTGTATGTATGATGGGGTGTGCTAAAAATTATCTATTTGGCCTAAAAAGAATTTTTAAAAAATTGATGTTTGATCAGATTTTGTGAATCTATATCTCTGTATATACAATTGTTTTATGTTACTAACAATTTTTTTGTCTAATATTTTACTTGGTGAACAGAAGGGTTAAGTCAAGACCAGAGAATATTTAAAAGATAACTACTTAAAATAAAAAAAAAGAAAAGCTTGTAAATGATCAATAAATGATGGATAAATAATATTTAATGAATAAACAGATATTATCTGTAAGTTTTTGTGCCTTCTTTGTATATTAATTACACCATTGTGTATAATAATTACAAGTGAATATGTAGTTTATATACGGTTAATAATTATTCTTTCCATTTAGGTTGTGTTAGCAAAGGAAGCTGGTATTAGTTATGCAAGCATGGCTCTTGTAACAGATTATGACAGTTGGAGAGAAGGAGAAGAAGGAGTAAGTACCACTTGATTACATTTACAAAACAATAACCAGGAAGGGATGTCCTAAAGAGAAGTTTGTCATAAACAATTATTGAAGTGTGTAGGTATTGTAACAGTTGATTGATGAACAGAGTTCAAATTCCAGCCTAGTCTGTTGAATCCACTTTGCACTAGTACCCTTAGAAAAAAAGTATCTCCCCAATCTATGGATTAAATAGCAGAGGTCTTTAGCCTTGGGAAGCGGCCAGTCTAGAAGGACAATTCTGAATTCAAAATAACTGCACTATCTTTATAAAAAAAAGGTATGATCACCAGTCATGAAAAAATGTTAAGAAGTGTAGAAAAAGATTTTTTAAATCAACATTCATTCAAATCTATATAAGCTTTTATTATTCACTGCATCATTGTATGTGTTGTGATATAACCCAACTTTCCCATTCACGATAATGGACGGACTGGTTGCTGATTAAGTACGACCACAGCGGACAGTGAAAGAGGTCTTCGTTTGTTAACACCTATTGAGGTTAGCATACTCCCGACTCTGTCTCTGTATTTTGACATACCTACATCCGATTATAAAATTATTATTAAAAACCAACACTCGGGTTTACTTTATTATATCTTGCACGAGATATAACAGCTGGCGACGAGGATTGTGCAACGTACTTACCTGGAAAAAAATATATATATATATATATATATATATATATATCAGATTACGCTTGAACGAATTTCGGAAGCTGATTACATAATTCAAAGATATCTGTTGACTTGATTAGGATTTGGAAACGGAGTCACAAGTCAAAAGGAAACTTTTGAAAAGTAAGAAAATTTTTACTGTTAAATTGTGATTTGAAAAATATATATTGAACCATGACTCAAATGCGAGCTGGTCTAATAATTGATTATTCAAGTAAAAATTACGGGTTGTAAAAATATTACGGCTGTAAATTGTCTGTTAACTGTCTAAAAAAAAAAAAAATTTTTTTTTTTTTTTTTTTTTTTGCTGAATTCTAAATAAAGTCAGGATGGAGCAATTAGTCGAAATGACTAAAATGCTGTGCACAAGCTTGCAACAACAACAACATCAAGAGTTACAGCAACAACAACAGCACCAAGACTTACAACAACAAATATTGCAACAGCAAAAAGTCTCAAAAAATTCTGAAACAGGCGACTGGAGAAAGAAAAATACTGTTTTTTCTGTCAAGGAATAGCAAATTCATTATCCGAATTTATTTATGATCCTGATTCGGGCATTACATTTCCAGCATACTTTAAACGTTTCAAACTATATTTACCAAGAGATGTCAACATTGGTCGGATGAGGAACGAGTAACATTATTAGTCCAGAAACTAGGGACAAACGAGAATAGGAAGTACTCAAACTTGCCCAGAAAGCCAGAAGAAGTTTCGTTTGAAGAAATTATAAGTATTCTGTCAAAATATTTGACGAAAGGAATAGTCTGTTCCACACGATATACAGATGCTTAAACATCGTTAAAGCAGATAACGGGATTTTGTGACATACGCGGGAACAGTGAACTCTCTGGTTGAACAATTCAAGTTAGAAGAAATAACCAAAGATGTATTCAAGTGCCTAGTTTTTCTTCAAGGACTAACTGATCCTAAATATAAAGAAATTAGGTCGAGAATATTAATAATGGTCGAGCAAGACTCGAAAATAACATTACAAAGGGTGACCGAAGAATGCTAAGATGTAAGAGTGGTATTATCAGAAAAAGAAATTCAGAAAGGTAAAAATAGAAATTACGTAGATGTACGTATAAATAATCATACAATTACTTTCCTATTGGATTCTGGTTCAGACATAAGCATCATTGATGAACAAACATGGAAAAATATTGGAAGACCTAAATTATCTGAAACCAAAAAAAACTGCTAGAGGGGTTTCAGGAAAGAAATCAAACTTTAAGGGAGAATTAAAGTGCAATATTTCGTTATGTGGCAAGACTGCAAAAACGAAAGTGTATGTAATCCAGGGATTAATTATGTGTTTTTTTTGCAACGTAATAAACATGTGCAGTAAAAAACGAAAAAAAAAAGTATTAAAATGAAAAATTCATGAATGAATTAAAAGAAGAATATCCCAGAGTTTTTTCTGAGGGATTGGGTTTATGTACTAAGACGGAAGTCAAATTTGAACTCAAAGAAAATGTGAAACCAATTTTTAAACCTAAGAGAAATGTTCCTTTTTCCTCCTTAGACACAATTAATAAGGAATTGGAAAGACTTGAAAAAATGGGAGTGATATCTAAGGTTGACCATTCGGATTGGGCCTCACCCACAGTTTATGTTAAGAAGAAAATGGAAAAATAAGAGTGTCATAGATTTTTCAACAGGGTTAAATGATTGCCTTAAAAATCAGTTATCCACTACCTTCACCAGAAGATATTTTTCAAAATTGAATGGGGGAAGATTTTTTCAAAAATCGACCTGTCTGACGCATACTTGCAGATTAAAGTGAGTGACGAATGCTCAAAATATTTGTGTATAAATACACATAAAGGTATTTATAAGCTAAATAGGCTTCCTTTCAGCTTAAAGGTCGTCCCAGCTTTGTTTCAACAGGTGATGGACACTATGCTGGCAGGCCTTGAGTTTGGTACCGCCTATTTAGATGACATTCTAGTCAAAAGTAAGAATGTTCAAGAATATAAAACGCACATCAGAGCAATATTCAAAAGACTAGAAGATTTTGGCTTTAAATTAAGCCACGAGAAGTGTAAATTCTTCATGGAAAGAATTACATATCTTGGACAGGTAATAGACAGTGAAGGCAGGAAACCGACCCACAGAGAGCCGATGCAATTAAGAACATGCCTGCACCCGACACAGTTGCTTAAACTACAATCGTTTCTGGGGTTGGCAATAATATTATGCAATCTACATACCTAAAATGTATGATTTAAGAGCCCTCCTTAATGAATTGTTGAAAAAAGACAAGAAATGGTTTTGGTCAAAAGACTGAGACGGCTTTTTCAGAAAAAAAAAAAATGCCTACTCTCAGATCTCGCCTTAGCACATTATGATCCTGAGAAAGAGATCATTCTGGCAACTGACGCAAGTTTGTACGGAGTGGGTGCTGCACTGCTACACAAATATGAAGATGGCACTACTAAACCAATCGCGCACGCGTCGAGGACTCTTCTTCCGGCTGAAAAAAATTATAGTCAGATCGAGAAAGAGGCTTTGTCGATTGTGTTTGGGGTTAAAAAATACCATCGCTTCTTACATGGTAGGTCATTTGTACTTCAAACGGACCATAAACCGTTACTTACAATATTTGGAGGTAAAAAAGGCATTCCTATGCATACAGCTAATCGCTTAGGGCGATGGGGTGTAACCCTGCTAAATTACCATTTTAGGATGGAATACGTCAAATCTAAAGAACATGGGCATGCGGATGGATTGTCAAGGCTGATTCCAAAAAATGAAGAAATGTTAGAAGAGACGGTTATAGCAGCATTAACTTAGGAAAAAGAAATATCAGGTCTCTTGATGAATACAATCAGGGAATTGCCGGTAACTTTGGACCAAATAAAAAAAGAAGCGGAAAAAGATCACTATATGGTGAAATTAAGGAACCAGGCGAGATGGAACAAAAGACAGAAAAAGGGAACTCAGATTTCACCTTTTTCAATTTGCGACAACATGTTGATGTACGCAGATAGAATTGGTATACCTCAATCTCTACGTACAGATATGCTGAAAGAATTTCATACCGGTCATCCTGGAATGTCTCGGATGAAATCACTCGTGCGTGGTTACGTATACTGGCCAGGAATGGACAAGGATATTGAAGGTTTTGTAAGACTATGTAGAGGTTGTCAATTGGCTGCAAGGGCACCTCTGGTCAAAATGAATCCTTGGCGAAAACGGATTTGTTTTGGGCACGTCTACATATAGACTATGCTGGACCAATTAATGGGTACTATTATTTGATATTGGTGGACTCTTTATCGAAATGGCCTGAGGTAGTCAAGTGCAAGCATCCTACATCTAGGAACACCATCAGTGCATTGGATGAAATTTTCAGTCGTTCGGGATTCCCAGGACATTAGTTAGCGACAATGGTACAGCGTTCACAAGTATGGAGTTTAAGGATTTCTGTACTGCCTTAGACATTGAACACATAACTACACCAGTGTCATCTCGGTCGAACGGTCAAGCCGAGAAATTTGTTGACACTTTTAAACGTGCTTTTACGTAAAAAAATAAAGGTATGGACACGGAAGAAAGAACTATTCAGAAGTTCTTAGCAATCTATAGGGTAACTCCTAATGAGAACAACGATGCGAAAATGTCACCGGTGGAAATTATGTTCAGAAGGAAAACTAGATCAATTTTCGATAGATTGTTACCCTATCAAAACAAAAAAGTTGCTAAGAAAGAGGAAAAAGTCAACATAAAAAAATACACTTCAGGAGATAAAGTTTTTTTTTTAAATTTTAAAAGTGTAAAAAGCTATTGGACGGATGGCATAATCCAGAAAAGGATTGGTAAAGTGGTCTTCATGATTAAAAGTAAAAAATTTACGTGTAAAAGACACATAAATCAGATTAGACCACGTTATGGTGAAGAAAGTGAAAAAAGCGAAGAAGAAATTCCGATGGAAGTGTTATGCGATGCTTTTAACATGACACTACCCAATAGTGTATTTGAACCTGTATCTCATGGATCAGCCGTACGGGCTGAAAAGCGGAAATTATCTTCACCAAAAAAGGATCTAATTGTGACGACTAAAAGAAGGAGCACACGAGAAAGAAAACCAGTGGAGCGTTTTAGTCCGGATCCAAAAGAAGATTTACATTAGAAGCAGAAATTTTCAAAGGAGAATTTCAGCCGGGAGAAATGTTGTGATGAGATAACCCAACTTCCCCATTCACGATAATGGACGGACTGGTTGCCGATTAAGTATGACCACAGCGGACAGTGAAAGAGGCCTTCGTTTGTTAACACCTATTGAGGTTAGCATACTCCCAACTCTGTCTCTGTATTTTGACATACCTACATCCGATTATAAAATTATTATTAAAAACCAACACTCTGGTTTACTTTGTTTATTATATCTTGCACGAGATATAACAGTATGAATACCTGATCTTGCAAGCCTCTTTCAAGTGAACTCTGACCTTACCAAATGTTCAAGAAAAGTGAATATGTTGAGCACTTTGTGACTAATTTGGTTACAGACTTGTTCAAGAAGTTTGCATATTCTGTAAAATATTCATATGATTACATGACTAAATATCCAAATAATTAGTCTTTAATATTATTACATAGCATACAGAAGTGAAGTGATTTTATTTTCTATAGCATGTAGCAGTATAGCTGAAATTTACCAGTTAATGTCTATACTCAATTATAGTAGGAGTCTTTATAGACAGTTTTTTTTTTTTTTTTTTTACACAAAAAATGGTTAAAAATCATGCATTTTCGGTGACCAGTTGCACTATACACAGGTAAATTTTTATGGAAGGGTTAAAATTCAGGCAAAATAAATTCAGAGGTCACACTATACATGAATTTGGTTTATACACAAGTATATATGGTAAATACCATGTCTAGATGAATAGAATGCACAAGCACTTATGCTAATGCTATGATGAGCATGCTTTCTGAGCTCTATGAAAATGTATCACAGACTTATTATAAATGTTTGTTTTATTAAGCTAAACACTAACAGTAGTGCTTCTCAACTGATTTATGATAGAGTACAGGGAATCCTAGTGGGTTAGATAGTTATAGATTTCCCACCAGCTCTGGTAATCAGTGAGCCAAGGATTTAATGTTTATTGACTTTTTAAGGTAGTAGCCAAGCTAGCCATTTAACACATTTAAGAAATCCCTATATTTTTTCATGAAGAAATAACTTTTTTTTTTTTTTTTTTAATTGTTCAATACTGAAAGATTCTTAAATTAAATTTAACCTTGTAGCAACAATGAGTAGAAAAAAAAAATGAGAAACTAAAATTGTGAAAACATTTTTGTTTATAATTGCCTTAACTCTGTAAATAGAAGAGAATTAAGAATAGATTTTGCCAAAAATTATTTTTCATCTTAAATATTTTGGCAAACTATTCTTTTAGGTTTCTGTGGATGTTGTTCTTAAGATTTTCAAAGAAAATGCCAAAAAAGCTGAAACTGTTTTGAAAAATGTGATTTCTGAAATTGCATCACACAACTGGACAGAATTGATTCAACACAATAAGGTATGTGCCGCTTTTTTTATACTACACACACAGAAATTACAAGGAAATTGTAAGTTGTCTTCCACTTAAACAGTAAATATTGTCATTCTTACTAATGCCAGTTTTAAAAAAGAAGAAAAAAATAGATAAGAACTTAACCAATTATACCCCAACACCTCCAAAAAATTCTTCATACTTTCAGAAATATTTTTCCTTCCCTGATAAAAATTACATTTCAAATCCCTATACATTAATGTATTAATAGAGACTACACTGATTCATATTGAAATTAATATATAGAGTGCAGAAGAAATACCTTCCACATCTACTTCACAGATAATGGTAAGACATAAATGGCAGTGGTGTCTTCACCTAGTTAATATCTTACCATTATGTAGGAAGTATTTTTGCTGTACCCTGTATAACTGAGTTTCATTTCTAAGACATATTTTCTTTTATTTAAATATTTGTAAATATACTGTATATTGGATTGACCTGATGGTAAATAATTATATTGTGTATAATAATAGAACATTGAATAAAGTCAGTCATATTTTTATATTTTCAGGAAGCTGTGATGAACTCTGTTCTGTCATACACTTAATAAACTGATCAGTGAACAGAAAAAAGCTGTCTTTTTTGCAATAGTCAGATACAATCATGGGCTAATGAGACTATTTTATATATACATATTAATTTTGTATGTTTAAAAAAAATAAATAAAAAAAAACATTTTATCTTGGAAATTTTTTTCTTTATTGTACATAGCTCTCTTATAGATATGTGATTTGGCTTAGTCTGGCACAAGGCCACATGTAGGGTACCTAATGATCAAATTCGCCACACACTGCTGGATTGTTTTTTTTTTTATCTTAATGTATTTAGGCAGCAGTCTATCAATAATAGTAGTTAGATTATAGACCATAAACAAGAAAAGCTTTAAGAAAATTCTTGTCTGTGGACATGATGAGTCCAAATAAGTTCACCTGAAGGAGGTTGTTGTATGGATAGTAAGAGGTAAGAAGTGCAGTTTATGAGAATATGTGTGAAAGACAATGGTTAACCCTAGACTTGAGGAGGTAAATATTGTAGCTGTCAGAAAAGCATTCTTTTGAGAGGTAGTTCTACAAAGTATATAAATGAATATTATTCATTTTCCAATTTTTATAAGCAGTTGTGCATTATGGGTGATGTAGCAGGCAAACAAAATAATATTTATATTTTGTTCCTGGATCTTGATGACTGCCAGAAGTAGAGTTGAAAATGCTATGTCAAAACTTACATCTCTTGTGTGTAAAAAATAAAAAAAAGATAAAATAAAAATCCATGTCTCTGGTTTTTAATCAAAATTATACTTATTTTGTGTTTATGTATGTATGTATGTATGTGTGTGTGTGTGTGTGTGTGTATATATATATATATATATATATATATATATATTACTCACAGGTAATTGAACATTATGAAAGTTTTGAATATCTTTGATAAAGGCCAAATTTTTATAAATAAAAAAACTAGATCAGAGAATTTCCAAAATGCTAGGATTTGTGGAGTGTGTCCATTAGAAGAGAGTAATCACCAACAAGGAACTGAGCAAGAAATGAATGGGGGCTTTCTCACCCAAGCATTACATTATAAAATGAGTTTTGTTTTTTTTTTTTAATTTTCATACTTCATAACACTTCAACTACATTTATGTTCAAGTCCCCAATAACCCATTAGGGTTGTAAGCGTGCTGTATTGTAGCAATGTAGTGTGTCTTCGATGATTTTGATTCGGTTCCTTCTCCTAGACTGGTTACCACTCAAGACCAGAAAACACAGTCTGCTCATTTAAGCCATAACTGGAGGAAAATGATAGCTTTTTCCAAAAGCATTAGTATGAAGTTGATGAAACAAACTCCTTCAGAATTTGAACATGGCATACCAATTTCACTTTCTATGCTAATAACCATTGTGCTACTTGCACATCTCTAAGAATAATGATTATTAAATCAAACAAATTTTAGAACTAAGCAATAATTTTGTATAAGTCTATTGCTTTGTTTACAGCTTTTCTAAGATGGAATAAATCTATTTAAAGGACATATTGAAGGCAAGGGAATCAGAAAAGCCATTAATAACCCACTTAATGAGCTTGTGTAAATGGTTGGCAGAACAGAAATAGCAAAAACATAAACTCTTATTAAGAGCTACAAATAACAGTAAGTTGTGAAGAGCCATATTTGCCCACATCATGAATGGATATGGCACACAGAAGAAGAACCAAAAATAATAAAAGTAACTTTTAATGATATTTAGCAACACTAAGACACTATTCTTAATGAAAAGGGTTAAGCCCACATTGAAATATAAACTGGGAAATAGAATGGAAGACATTTTCCCTGGTAGTGTGGAAGTGAATAAAGGGCCATCTCGGTTGCCTCACCCCTATGAATTGGAACAATGCACTGAGAATTGAAATTTATGAGAATAAACCACACCCTTTCTCTTATGCACTTTAAAAATTAGATTTTTCCCAAAGACAGTTATGCCAGCCCTGAGAGGTGGGAAGAGTTAAAATACAGAGAAGGAAGGGGCTGAAGTGTGAGATGTGAAGAGAAGCAGGTTGGAGTTAAGTGAAATCCATGTGACTACTCCCAAGGTAGGTGAATAATTCTGTAAATTTAGAAAGTCAATTAAGAATGCAGAAATAGGGAACAAAGAAAACCTTTATTGGAATTAATGAAAATTGGGGAATATTTTTTCAGTACTTTTAGTTAAATGATCAAGAATGCTAGCAGCTAGTGAACTGACATTTTCTTAACATTGACTAAACTTTCAGTAAATTTGTCTTTAAGCAAAAAACTACTTAACCAATTCATAAGCCAGAGCAGTTTGTAACTATTTCATAATCAAAATATCAATGCAGTCATTTGCTTTATTTTGTATCAATTTGAAAAATCCTAAAATTAACAAATATTTAAAGCCACAAACAAATGCCTTAACTGAAGGAAAGTACATACTTGTTGGATAAAGGCAACTTGTTTGGAGCTTTCAAAGAAATGAAGTCATTAGCAATATTTTATGACACTAACATATTAATTTTTCTACAATAGATCCTCAATCCTTTCTCTCTTCAATCAGTTTGAAGTATTGTCATTTTCTACTGATAAAGCAGAATGCTTTGCTCATAAATTCCCTTTCAACTCAATTCTCAACTTTTCAAGAGCATCTTTGTCTGATTTTCTATCTAGAACAATGCATTCAACTCCATCTATAATTTTTGCTATCAATGACAAACCAGATCCACAAAGGACATGCAGACTTGATAATATCACTGCAATTGTCCTAAGGAAATGTACACCTGTCCTCTCCAAACTCTACAACAAATGCCATGCTGCTGCTTGCTTTCCATCTTGTGAGAACTCTTTTTCTGTAGTTCCTGTCTCTAAGAACTCTAGTGAACCTTCTTATCCTTTGAATTATTGTTCGATTAGTTTTTACCTTTCTTGACAAAGTACTAGAGGCTCTAATCAACTCTGAATTGATTAAGCATCTTACTTTGGACAGTCTTCTTTCCGATAAACAATATGGTTTTTGATTCTTTAGGCCAACCAATGAGGTGCTAATGGATATTATTGAATTTGTTTGCTGGCCTTCTTCACAAGTTGAAGTGCTAGGGTGTCTCTCACTGAATATTTGATTTGATCCAATCTTTCTTAAAATCCTGTTAAATGGCCACTCTTCTAGGTTTTTTCACATTAATGTGGATGTCCCTCAGGGCTCTAGCCTATGACCTATATTGTTCCTTATCCTCAGTGACCTTCCTGATGTCATCAGTTCCTAAGTCAGTATTTATGCTGATGACACAACAATTTATTCCTGTCTTTATAGTAAGTCTAGAGATCAACTTCCAGTCTTACTTTATCAATTAGTTGTTAACTGGGGCAAGAAATAGCTTGTTAATTTTAACACCACCAAAATGAAACTGTTATCTTATAGTCAACTTAGAGGACCATTTTTACCTCTCATCAGCATGGCTGATGTTAACCTCCATGTGAGCAACTCGTTGCATCTTCTTGGTCTCATATCTCCCACTGACATGAAGTAGAATGATTATATTGAATCAATTACTAGGAAATTTTGTTCTTTGTGTTGTGCTACACAATTTTTTTTTTTTTTCAACAGAATCCATCTTGCACAGTTATAAATCTACATTTCCTCCTTACATTGAATATTACTGCTATATCTTGTCTGGTACTCCTGCCAAATATCTTGAGATTCTTGACAGAAGGGTGTGTAATGTTATCAGTAATGACTGGATATCTCAACTTCAGTCACTTTTCCACTGTTGTAATTTGGCTTCCCTGTGTCTTTTTTTATAAATATTTTCATGGCATTTGTTCAAATGAGCTCTCCTTCTTTGTAGCATACCTCAACCATATGAATTTAAGAGTCCTACTATATTGGCTACTAGGTATTATCATTTTAATGTTGAAATATCTAGATGTATCCATAAGTTCTATTCTAATAGTTTCTTTTCTCTTGTTTCTCACCTATGGGACTCTCTTCCTGTTTTTTTTTTTTTTTATTATTCCCTGACACCTAAATGCAATGTCAATTATTGTCTTCTTAATTCTTGTTCTTTTATTACCCTTCATCCTCACTAACAGCTCATTTTCTTTTACTTTCAGTAATCCCTCGTCTTACTGGCTTTATCATCTTGCTTAGGGTGAAATGATAAAAAAAAAGATGCAGGAATTTTCATAAACAGGCATTAAATATTCAATAAAAACATTTTTTAGTTACAGCTATAGATTTTTTTTAATACAAGGAAACTGTATGTGTGGGAGTGGGTTGGGAGGTTTAACAATCATTTAATTGTTATTAAAAATACATTTTTGAATCAAGATTATGTGTGTTGTCTAACAAGAAAAGTGGAAGGAATTTCAATAGTAACAAGCAAACAATTGTACAATAGCAGAGAGTTGCTTGCAGAATCAGTTGATTAGGATTGCTTTCTGGTTATATATTGTTTCACATTCAGTATTTTTTTAAATGGAATGTTGTTTATATAGTATTGTGTTTCTGTCAATGATTACAAGCATCCTCACCCTCCCGTCAACATTGCATAGAATTAGAAAACAACAATCATTACTGAAATCAGTAGAAAATTCATTAAAAATCCCACACATACACATCAAGTCAAGTATTGGAAACCAGTTGTGCATTACATTAATATTCTCTTTCCCTCTTCCTTGTTCATTCATATATACACTTCTTTTGTAAGGTCGAACACATTTAAAAACTGTCAACACATGCATTTTCCTAAATATAATTAACTTTCAATTATATTATATACAAAGTTGTGGTAAAATAAGACTTCATGGATTCTGGTTCTCTCTCAAATATATTTTGCAAAAACAGAATTTGAAATGACTAGTTAAAATAAGATGGTTGGGCTTAATACTAATAAAAAAATTCAGACTTTAAAAACTGGAGTTTAATTTTTTTTTAAAGCAAGAAGATTTGTACAAGAATTTTCATTTTTCATGTGCTGTATTAAGCTAAGTTTAGTAAATGCAGATAAATTCAAAATTCAGTCATGGGTATTTCAATTTTC